TCAGCATTCTCTGTGGCAAAGAACAAATTTGTTTTAGCAAGTAAATTAATGAGCAATGAAAATCCTTATAGGTAAATGTAGGTAAATAAATGTAATTGAAAGCTTGATGCAAGGCAAGTTTCTGCAAGTTTCCATCCAATGTATCCATGTCAGCAGCACCAATTTGCAACAAATATCTTTGCAAAAATTAACGGAAGTAATTTCAAATCAATCATATACATTTCAATTGATCAAGTTCAGTTCATTATTAAAACTGGTTGCAGATTGCATCCAGTATGGGACATCTGCATAAAAAGAAAGTTCTCCATGCGGTTTTGCTTCTCTCCAAAGTAAACTGTGTCGTATCCCTCAGATTCCTTCTCTGGCATAAACACTATTTGCATGATTGTTCAGATTGGGTGACACTGATGTCATCTTTAAGGGTGTAAATAAATTGGAGAAAAGCATCGCTCTGCACCCAGCACCTGATACAAACTTATCTACCTTGTGTGTGTATGGTTGTCTTCAGTAATGCTGTGAGAACATGAGTAATGTGAACCATTTATTAAATTTTAGTGTGCAGAATGAGTCTGTATAAATTCATAAAGGTCTTCTGAAGGGTTTACGTTCAGATTTATTCATGCATGCATATGTGGTGTTCAGCAGCTGAAGCTTTGATAATGAACTCAATGTATGTTCACGGGAATATTTTAAACAGGTTTCGTGTGAGTGTCATAAACAAATGTGATAAATATTGAGCATGGCATTTAACAGCCACTAGAGGGCAGAAAAGTTAACAGCTGGCAGAATCATGAGATGCAAATTATAAGGTAGTAAGGTAAGGCTGCAAGGTAGTTTTATCCTTGCAGTTTTTTGACTCATCTTTTTTTGCATCGCTGTGTGTGTGTGTGTGTGTGTGTGTGTGTTGCAGGAAGTGGAAGTGTGTAAGCCTTTGGGGGTCCCTCTGCATGCAGTCAGTAATGGTCCAGCACCTCCTCCCGCAGTCCTACCTGCCGCCGCCGTGCTCCCAGCCTACAGCACCCTGCCTTTAATGCCCGGCTTCCTCGGAGCTCCACACCCACCCGCAGCTACACCTAGCTCCGTCACACATGCACACACTGCAGCCACCGACTGGAACACGTACTATTATGTGAGTAGAGATTACATAAAAGCATCAAGCTGTTGGCCGTTTGTACTTTCATACTTTTCTAAGTGAAGCTCAGAGGGGAGAAAAAAGGTAATATAATATTTTCATCAGCTTAAAAAAAAAATCTTAGTATTTGGTTTTGCAGGTAAGTCCCTTAGAATTCCATACACAGCGTTAATCAGCAGGTTAGGTTTTTTACTGTATGACTTTCTGTCAGTCTGACAGTTTCTGTCTGTATCTCTCATTATCAGCACCATTGTAAATTTAGGAGACTGTTAGCTTTATAAAGACTTATTGAAAGTGAAAGGTTGCATTACAATAAAAACAAACAGAATTTCATTCTATTTCAATCTTAAATGGCAGGTTTATTAATGTTGACATGTTCTCAATCAGCACACTTCCTGTGGAAAACATGAACTGAATACATTCAGGTCTATGATCATTTTAAGTCGTTGGATTTCATTTCCTCTCTATTTCTTGAAATATTCAAAGCAAAATGTTGCCTAGGGGTTTTTCACTAACATATTACAGACCAGATGTCATACAAAAACTGAAGCTAAAGAGCCATAAAAGGTTAATTCCCTACGAAGCTTTGAATTGAAATTACAGGGAACAGTTGTATTGACCAGAGTCCGTAAATGGTAATATGTTTTAGTCAATAAAAGCTACATAAATACTGAAAACCAAATAAATGTTCTACTCATATAAATCTAGTGCTTTGGGAATTAACATTGAGACATTAGTACAGCCTGTTCTTTGTTTTGAACATTTAAAAAACCTAGAACCAATTAACATGGTGCCTACACAGCTGAATATGTTTGGTATTTGAATTCTAGTCTTAGCCAAGTGTGAAAAAACAAAATAAGAGGATTGAAAATATTATTTCAAACATCCTCTACTAACATCCTTCTTTTTTTTTCCTGTCTTCCCTTTGTCACCCCTTTCCTTTCCTACCATCCTTCCTTGTTTCCCCCTGACTTGTCTCATCCCTTCCTTTCTGATGTCTTTCCTTTTCCCTTCTTTTCTTGTGCCCTTCCTTGGTTCATTTCTTTCTTCCTCCTATTTTCCAAATTGTTCATCTTTCCATTGTTCTGTTCTTGTCACATTCCTTCTCTTCTTCTTGCCTTCTGTTTTTCCATCTTTCCTCTCTTACTCCATTATGTTTTTCTTGTATTTAGGGAGGTATGTCTTACCTCCCTTCTGTCCTTCTGTCTTGTCTCCATCCTTCTCCCTGTCTTCCTTCCTTCCTGTTTCTGGTATTTTCAAGATATTTAAATTTGCACTCTGTGGAAATATCTGATATAAATCCATATTTAACTTTAATTATTAATAATTTAAACGTGTGAAGAAATGGGAACTGTGGAAATGTAAGTCAAAATAGATTTGTAGAAAAATGTCGGAGCCCTGAATTACACATCAGGGTTGTTACAGGAAGGTTGGTACGCTTTCTGTACCAAGTCAGTCCTTCAAAGTGGTGCTAACAACTATTCCTCCATCCACCCTCCTATTAAATATATAATTATGAGTATAATGATACCGTAGAGCTTGCTTGGCTTTCTCTTTTCTCTTGTTTTTGTTGAAGAAGTTTAAGGCTGTATAATCTACAGGAGGTTCACGGAAAGGAACACTGGCGACATAAACCAAACAGTTCCAGACTTCCTTGCCGAGTCTCGCCTTTAGTGAGATTTACATTTGTTTGTGCAAACTGCCTCTGTGGCCCCATTCGCTCTGCAGCGGCGGCCTGCTGAATCTGTACAAGAGCTGCTTCCTTTTTTCTCTCAGTATTTCTCTTTAACAGCATTGAGAATAGTTAGTATCTTACCTGCATTAGATGAGTTCCTTTGGACTTTCTTTACATTCACTATGCGTAGAGCTTGTTTTCTGCAGTGGCTTCAATATCAAATATGTGCTCTTCCCATAATGCCTTATGAGGTTTATTTATTTATTTACTGTTTTAGTAATAAAAACTAATTGCAACGCTAATTTATCTGTTTTTATGCATCATCTGCTTAGGCATTTGACAACAGTGTTCCAGTAATGGGATGAGGAATACTTTGCTGGTTCATTTAACTGTTGTGCTTTAAACATCTAGAATATGAAGTTGTTCCACTTCAAACGTAGGATTGTCACAATAACAAATTTCACTGGATGATAAATTGTCCCAGTAATTATTTCAATAAATTATAATGTTGTTTTTTTTTTTAGACCAATTTCAAGTAATACATGGATAATGGCACAATGATAAAAGTTTTTCCTCTCAAAGATCAATAAACTTAAATTTTTTTAAAGAACACTACACACGAACTACAAGACATTTTAAATATTCAATTAAAACGCAACCAAAAACAATAAATAAAAGGGAAATAAAAACCACACACACACACATCCAAAACCATAAATAAAATTAATTATAATTTCTTTGTAAACAAAATCTCCCTTCAAAAATCATTAATCACCAGAATAGAAATGATTAAGGTCATTTTAATTGATCATACAATCAATTAACTGCTGCAGGCTTATTCAAGCAAACACTGTGGGTTAAAATTACCTTTTGCCGAATAACTTCCTTCCCGCCTGTCGTTTTGTGTCTCCTCAGAACCAGACCCGTGGCATTAAGAGGGACTACCCTCAGCTGGCGGTGCAGGAGGCGCCGCCATCAGAGGGCGCGTACATCGGGCAGCACTCCCAGGGCCTGGGGGGGCAGTACGCCGACTACTTCAAGAGGAAGAGGCTGTAGAGTGAACCAAATGACCTTAAAGCCCACAGCTTCAGGAGGGAGACACAACCAGCTGGATGTCACAGCTCCCTCTAGTGGCCTTTTCTGTGGCTGCCATTGTGCGTCCCTGCAGTAGGTGTCAGGTCGGGTTGAGTCAGGGTAGCAGATGGCCGGAGTGAAAACAAGCCATAGTGCTCTTTGATTTTGAAACTTTAGTACACTCTTTCACAGTATTGCTTTTGTCTTGTTCAAGCCTTAACTATTTATCGTAAATGTCAGTTTCTCTGTCACTGTTCCTAACTAATATTATCCTGTACATCTTTTTTTTTTTTTTTTTTTTCCAAACATAATCTAAACTAAAGTATATTATATGTGTGTGTAGAAGTTGCTTTTCTATTTGCAGGCAGCTGACCTGTCTGGATGCTGAAACTGCCCCCCTTTGGTCCTTTCCAAGTCTTTTTTTTTTTTTTTAAAGAAACTCTCAAATTTGATTCGTCAGTCAGACTGACATCCATTTCTTCTAGCTTCACTGCCTTTTTATTACCCAGGACTTTCTCTAAACCTACCTGAGGGTGTGTGTGTGTGTGTTTTGTGTGTTGCTTTGCTGTTATCTGTAGGAAGCGTCAGCCATTTCTATCCCAAGTTTTGGGAGAACATCAGGATAAAAAGGGTCTAAACCGATCAAATCCCTTAATTTTGGTGAATTAAATGGAGTCCCTCAATAGTTGGACTTTTCAGACGTAGACTGAGGGAATAACTAAATTAACTGCTGTGTAAATATCGCAGTGTAGTATAGAATATATAAAGCCATGCGTAACAGACAATAACATAAAATAAAGGGCGTTTTGATGCTCATTTTTGAGTGTGGTGTACAACAGAAAAGAATATTCAGCGTCAGATTTGTTTTGTTGATCTACAATATACTCTTATATATTTGTAATATAATATTCCGAGGCAGTTTGAGTATTGTATTAACAATAAGTCCTGATGAGACTTTAACGTAGTTATTTGGTTTGTTTTGTACTGTCTAAGCCAAATATTCGGGTGCAGTTTTCCTCCTCTGCTGTTTTTGTTGTAAATCATTTTCTCTCTTTTTTTGTTTTTTCTGAAAGTTTTGTTGAATCTGTAACAGGAGCTTTAATTTCATATTCAGCCGCCACTTTCATAAAGCTTTGAGACTGTAGAAACGATTCGACCCAGAGTCACTGCACAGCTAAGAAAAACCATGGCTGAGGATTCTGCACAGGAACTGTTAAATATTAATGGCTGAAAGTAATAAAATGGCTCCAGGAGGCTCCCCATCCCCGCCTTAAAATATATTTGTTTTATTTGTAGAAAAATAATTCAGCATTTCCATTGAGCGATTGAATTAGCTCTGACACTTAGCAGTTTGATTGGATTTGCACAATGAACATACAGTTCATTATGCAATACTCATACTCATCAGCATGAAAGTCATGTTTATTTGTGTGTTTTAATGATTTTTTTGAACGCTTTTTTTGTTTTTTTATCATATCTCTGGGTGACGTAGATTCAGTTATTTTCATTTGATAAAAAATGTTTATTCCTGAATTGAACATTTCCACTGGTATTCATATTTTGTAGGAAACTCCTTGCCATCACCCTAACCTTTAGTTCTCTTTACAGACTTGCTATCAGTTTGAAATCTGGACTGGGCCACTCCAAACATTAAACTTTGCTTCTGGTCAGAAGAAACACGTTGATAAAATTAAAACATTGTGTTTAAATCTGTAGGATCAGGATGGCACATCCGGCTTGCCGTAAGTTGGCACCAACCAGAAGGAACGGCTCACCGTCTTACTAACAGTGATTGAATGAAAGCTTGTGGTCAGAACTGTATGTTAAACAACAATGTGCAAAAATTTCCTCTTAATTTATTTGACCAGTTTAGTAGCAGTAGAGTCAACCGGATTATTTTTCCATGTGATTAAGTTAGTTTGTAAGAGTTTTTCTGTATTTAAAGTTGTAGGTTGAATGAAATCTAGATTTTTATTTAATTTTTTGCACAGTTGAAACCAGATATTTACATACACTGTACAACAAAAAAAAAATACATAAACATTTTTTCTCTGACACTAATTTGGATGTTAGTCTTGTTTTATATGTCGCTTCTGAAATAATGGCTTCCTCTTTGCTGGATGGCCTTCCAGTCCATGTTGGTAGAAAACATGTCTCATTGTGTATAATGACACGTTTGCCAGCTGGAGCCGCCATCGCCACACACTCTTCTGCTTTTGGTCTGCAGTGAGACCAAAACACTGTAAGCCGTCTCCTTCCTGAACAACGTGACGGCTGGACGTCTTCTGGGTGTTTATGGTTGCGTGTAATTGTTTGAACAGATTAATGTGGCACCTTCATAAGTCCGGAAACTAACCAAGGATGATCCAGGCGAGTAGGGCTTTTTCTGATATGTTGGCAGATTTTTTTTTTTTTTTACTTTGATGGAAGCAGTATGTTTGAGGTGCTGCTTTATAATCAGAGGCTTTCAAAGCCGTTCTACAGTCTGGACTTTCCCAAAGTATTTGAAAGCGCAGTAATCTTGGTGTATGTAATCTGAAACAGGAAACACATTGGACAGTGTATGTAAATAGCTGGTTTAATCTTGGTATAATACTTTTTTATTTTATTTTATTACATTTTTTATGTATTCCTTGCAAAAACGATTTCAGTTAGTTTTTGGTAATATTGTAAAGCCAGTATACAGAAAGCTTGTATAATGAGATGTGGTTTTTTTTTTTTTTTTTTTTTTTTTTTTTTACGTTTTGATTATTA